TTCTGCAGTAAAAAGGTCTCTAGGCTTCTTTTTCTTTTCTGTAAGGTAAAGGGTCAGGGAGGAGGAATTGGCAAATATAAACTCAAAACTTCTACCAGTCACCCTTTAGGGTTCTAGAAGAACTCTTTTAAATTAAGCTTTCATGTAGGCTCTGTAGAATACTTTCCTTGTCATTAGGACAGCTAAATATGTTCATTCAAACTGGATCTATGATCTCATTGATGTGGCTGATATAGGTTGCAACATGCCTGCCTGTCCTGTAAAATCCCTCTTCATGGCTTCCCGTAAGTTTGTCAAAGAGGGCCCACTCATCATGCCAGACCTTTCTCACATTCTCTTGGTATCATGAGGATACCATGAAGCCCATGGGCCACTTGTCAGTTATCATACTCATCACATGACCGTGCCACCTTCTGTTTTGATCATATATTTCTTTGATGGTATCCTTTGCTCCAGAGTAAATAGATTTAAAATATTTTAATATGAAAAAAATCATATCCAATCATATTACTAAAACCAAGTAATGATCACAGCCTTATGCTATAATCTAAAAACGTTGCTTATACTTCTATGATTTTAGGCAGAGAAGTTTGAAATGCTCATTATCTCACCATTGCAAGCCATAATTTACCTTTATATTAAAGCTGCTAATATTTCATGAAGATGAATTGGGGAAGAGGGGGATAGTGATGCACTTGGTGTCTACTTAATATACTTTGTGTCTTAACTTTTGTTTCTGTAGTAATGTCAAAACAGTGACAAAACCCAAGTCTTGTAAATGCCCACCTGCATATGAAATGTCTTAATTAACTTGGAATCTGTACTTGAATGTACCAAAATGCAATCTTTCTCTGCTAGTAAACGAGTATGCATACATTTCTGAAAGACACAGGGGTGGGAGGAAAAATGCAGTTTTCATTTAGCTTCTTAATTTATTTTTGACTGTTAACTATAATGATGAAGCTGCTTAGTTTATAAAATCCTTTAAAAAATACTAAGGAAATTAAAGGAATAGTTATCACTGGCTCTAAAATATTCCTACAGGCAATATTTGTTTTCTTTGTGTCAAAGCAATATAAAACAAACTCAGAAAATTAAAAGGTAAAGGAAGTGGACAATATTTTAATAAAAGTTCTGAGCCAATACATATCAAAGCCTGATACAATACCAAAAGCATATGCTTACAATGCTGTTTTTATATTAGCATATAGAACATAATTTGCTTAACCATTAAAAAATAATATCTATACAGGCACAATAGTTTTCTTTTTCGTAATTAACCTCAGAAGAATTCTGTTGTACCCATGTGGCAGACATTTTACTATGGCATCTTATAGATAGCCCGTTTAATTGGGCCAGTTTAGAAACAGACACAGACACATGCAATCATAGTGTCTTAACATAGTTATGTCTGAGATGTTGCCAAGAAATTTATGCCATAACAGACAGCATGGACACATGTTGCATTTGAATGAATGAATTTAGGTATTGCTACTTACCTAGTACTTTGCACAGTACCTGGCATATAGTGGGTGCTTACTAAATGATTGTTGACTTATTGGACTTGGGATATATTTAATATCTATGATGGCTATCAGAATTAGCTTCTTTGATCAGTAACTTCTAAGACTGGGACCAAATTGAAAAGCTTCATCTTATGTTAAAATTAAGTTTGCAGAAATTATAACTGTCAAATATTAAAAGTTACTCCCTATAAAGGTAAAAAAACAAACAAGCATTCCCATGTCTAAGAGCTCTGCCAAAAAGGAGTGCTACAAGAAATACAATCTAATTTCTGACAATACAGTCAAATTTATTTTAAATTTATATGGGTCTATGTATTTGAAGTTATATTGAGAATGCCAATAAAAGATACTTGGTAAAAGCCCCGTGCATGTACTCCTTTCTTACTAATCCACCATGAGAAAATAGAAACCTGTAAAAGATACAACTTGAGAAACAAATACATTTGTATTATATTCTTCTAGTCTTTCTACATCATAAATGAAAATAGCATGGGTTTAGAAAAAGTAATAGTACAACTAAGATAACATTTCAATTCTACTATTTGGGATAGTGGAGCTTATGTAAGGACAAATCATCAGTTTCATCTCTTTAGCCTGGGAAGATGAAATCTGAAAAGGAATATGACGCCTTTAGAATGAGGTATGGTTGTATCCACATTTATGAGATTATAGATCAAAGTACTGAAGTAAATACCCCTTCAGTTTGGAAAGATAATTTTCCTTAAGTCTAGGTCTGATTATGTCACTCCCCCAACTCAATAAACTTCAATGGCTTCCTATTACCTCTAGGGACAAATATAAACTTCTTTGTTTGGCCCTTCATAACCTAGCCCCTAGCATTCCCGTCTTATTATACATTACTCTCCTTCTTACACCCTAGAGCAAGGCCAAACCCATTTCTCTCTGTTCCTCCCCTAGAAGTCTCCATCTCCCATCTCCAGATTTTTGCACTGGTCATACCTCATGCCTCTAATGCACTCCCTCCTCACTTTACCACCTCATAGACTCCTTTACTTCCATCAAGAACCACCTCCAGTTCTGCCTTCTACCTTAAGTCTTTCCTGATCCCCTCAGTTGCTTGTGCGTTCCCTTCCCAAATCACCTTATTTTTGTATTTGTACATACTTCTACATTGTCTCCCCTAAGGAATGATTTCTGAAGGGAGGGACTGTGTCATTTTTGCCTTTGCATCACCAGTGCCTAGCACAGTACTTGGCATACATAAGTACTTAATGTTTACTATCTGAAAAAAGAGATGTCCGTAAAATAACAAAGAATGAACTGACACGTTAAATAAAGAGAAAGAAGCCATTTTCTTCCCTCTTTCCATGAAATGTAAACCCTTGCCTTCACTTTCAGACTCAGCTCTGCTTGATCAGTGCTCTGCACTAATCCTAGTTCTGGACACAAGCAGGGAGCCTGTTAGGAACCTAGCCCTGTTAAAGGATCGGGGATTTAGACACAGAAGGGAAGTCAGAGTCCATTCAGTTTGATCTCATGACGACCTAAGGTCACAGAGGTAGTACCTCAGAAATGGGATTTCAATCCAGGTCTTCTGACCTCAGAGCTGGTGTCCGGTCCACATTTTTAAAAAATCCAAAACATTCTAATAGTCCTCTGCCTCTTTACCACGAAGCAAGACATGTTTCATTATCTCTTCAGTAGGACCTTCATCAGTTTTTTATAAATTGACTTGGTGGTCTTTTCCTGTTTTATAAAGAAAAGCATGGGCTTTGGAAATCAGATGACCTGGATTTTAATGCTGATTCTGCTACTTATCATGTCTGTTGTTCAGTCATTTCAGTTGTGTCCGACTTTGTGATCCCATTTGGGTTTTCTTGGCAAAGATACTGAAGTGGTTTGCCATTTTCTTCTCCAGCTCATTTGACAGATGAGGAAACTTGAGGCAAACAGGGTCACACAGCTAGCATCTGAGGCCAAATTTGAACTCAGGAAGATGAGTCTTCCCGACTCCAGGCTCAGCACTCTATCCATTGCTCCACTCAGGTGCCCACTATTACCTCTGTAACATTGGTCAAATTATTTCATTTCCCTGGGTCTGTTTCCCCATCTATAAAATTAAGAGCTTCCAGCTTAAATGTTTTAATCCTGTGCCTGGGTTCTGATTCTGCTCTCCATTACTTAACACTGCCCAGGACCAGGAACCACTACTGATCTGGCAGTACTTTGTACAAGATAGGTGCTCGGTAGATTAGTTGAACCTATGACCAGCACTTGTGTCCAATTTCTTTTTCAAATAGCCAAGTTTCACTGGGTGAAACTTTCATAAGATTTAGATAGGTACTCAATATGCACTCTGACTGTGCTAAGCAGATATATGTCCTCTTGGCAAGCACCATTCCCTTCCACCCATACTCCAAATTTTTCCATTTGGATCTCCACTACTTATTCACCATCTTTACTTGCAAACTCTAAATTCCACACTGAGCAGATATGCCTAGAACTTGTTTATGCTCTCCAACTAGAACCCTTGATAGCACACCGCCCCTCCCCTGCTATTTACCTGACCTTCTAGCCTCTGCAGTACTCACATGTCCTTTTGAGTCCAGAGGATACCCACATTTCTATTGCCTAGAATTTGGATCTCAATCATTTCCATCCATCTACTTTAGCCTCTCCTTTTCCCTCACTTAGGATTACATCTTAGAGCTCATATGAAACAACTCTGGGACAAGTAAAGTACCTGTATTACTTTCCTTCGGGGAATAAATTTGCAACACTTGTTACCTCAAAAGGTGGTAAACAAATTATAAGTAGTCATAAAAAAAAGATCTAATTCATGGAAAACTATACAGCCATACTAAGAGGAAATATGAATATTAAAGATGCGATTAATTTCTGAAGTTTAGGCTCTATCTTGACAATATTGTTACTTTATTCATCAATGTTATAGTTACTCAAGACCTGGAAAACAGAGTTCTTGCCCTCAAAGTCTTTGGATTTATCAAAGAGAAAGGGGCAGCTAGGTGGCGTGGTGGATAGAGCACCGGCCCTGAAGTCAGGAGGACACGAGTTCAAATTCAGCCTCAGACCAAACACTTGACACATACTAGCTGTGTGACCCTGGGCAAGTCACTTAACCCCAATTGCCTTTAAAAAAACAAAACAATATAAGAAGGAGGTTTTATCAGTAGAAATATATATATATATATATTCTGAGACATGGTAGTTCTTATGCCTTTTTAAAAAATGGAAAAATAACTGTTTTAATATCTTTTATATGAAATATTAACTCAATACTCCTCCATGACAATTTTGTTTCTGTGTTGGGTTTAATTTTAATAGACAGAGGTTCAGAATGTTGGAAGTTTTTTTCATTTTTAAATTCCTCCCTCAAAATTTTTATTATACCCATTTAAAAACTGGTGCTAATGTAATATTACCCATTTTCTGGAAGCCATTAAGGGGAAAAAGAATTTGTCTCAAAAAAAGAAAAGTCTTTTAAACACAAGAAACACTGCAGAAACATTTACTTTAATTCAAATTTTACAGAATCAAGTGGAAACAACAGCAAACAATACAGTATCACGTTCAAAATCAAAGGTGTTGTATACTCATGGCAGAATTGTACAAGTTTTGTGATTTATCATACACACAAGTGCAAATTTAGGTACTTCTACGAGGTTTATTGTGAATCTCCTAAATTTTCACATAGACTCAAGTGTTGGTGATGAAATTTAATAAAGACTTTTTTTCATACTCAAAATTATATCCAAAGTTTAAAAATATGGCACAATATTTCATATATGCCCAGCAATCATACATGACTATTAGATAAATCACAATGCTAAATGCCAAAATAAAATGTTTTGATTTATCGAGTTTCTAAACTGCGTAAGATTTTTACTATTTTATTTAATTCACCTCAAAAAATGGTCGAGGATCCCCAAATCTAAAATAGACAGTAATGTTGACATAGACGCCACTCAAAAAAGTAACAAACTCAAGTCAAGGGAAGAGGCCTATTTTCCCTTCCTTTCACATTTTTATTACTTTATCAACTGGTACAATCATTTCTGTCAGTTATACCATCAGGGCAGTGTTTTTTATTGTTATGAAATAAAAGGCTGAACTTAGGCAAGCATATGCTTCTGAAAATGGTATATAATCAACAGTGCTGTTAATTATAGAACTAAGCAACAAAAGGAATTAGACAATTGCCTGACATGTGAGTTGAAAAAAAACACTATGCCATTAGGTTCACAGAATAAAGATTCTCACAGGCAGCATATACCAGTAATACAGTCTCCTAAAAATAAACATGGTCAAGTGAACGCTGTCACCATATTATTTTCCAATGACAAACTACTATGTTTCATGTATTCTTCTGCTAATGAGTAAGATTTAGAAAATAATTTTCTACAACTAGAAGGTGTAAACGCTTTCATTTCCAAAAACTCTAACATATATACCTGTCTCTTTTTAAAATATTGAAACAAACCACAGGAATTAAGAAGGGTAATTGCTCGTAATAAGTAAGGATTCACCCCCAGTTAAGAGTGAAGTAACATTCCTAAAAAAGAAACTGATCTTAAAGATTACTGTACCACAATAAAAATGTGGTATCAGGTTAAATTAGGCTTTGAGCAGTAGCTTACAGAGAACTGATGTTGATTATCTGGCATACTTACGTCAACAAAATTATTAATTCAGTTTTTAAAGAAGCTTGCCTTAAGTTTTCTTTCCATATGCAATATTTTCAGTACTAAAAGAAATGGCTGCAATCAAATCCACCCATTTATAATAAAATTAAATACCACTGTCAGTTGTCAAGGGATTCTATAAAAATTAGAAATTGGGTTTGGAAAAGAAACGAGTCTGGTACAATTTCACCCCTCATGTATAAGGGTACAATGGTGGAGCAAAATTTAAACAATTAGTTCCACTATATCATTATTAAACACATTTCAGACTTTGGCAGGCTAAAGTATGGGCTTAAGGGCACTTGTTATTTACTCGGTAAAAAATTGAAGGTCTAATAAACAAAAACTTTAGGACTCTTACCCACGTTACTACCACACATATACAAACTTCCACATTGAACACCAACATTACAACTACCAAAGTTTTAAAAATTATCAAATAGCTAATCCTGGGCAAGGGTACTTTAATTCTGGATTTAAAAAATGAAAGTTCTTTACTTCTGAGTGGTGTGGTAGCATAATGTCCAAGTTGACCACACAAAGTATCACATATATACAGTGAATTTATATATTCTTATTAGCATGTTTAAATAATCTACCTAAGAAAGTTAGGCTGAGAGTAGTTAGGGGATTGCATAGATAATTTTTTTGAAAAATAAAGTTTTTTAAAATGGTTTTTCTTTTTCTATTTAAAACAAATTTTTGGCCTGTAACATCTGAAAACAATACTGTAGATTTACATAATCCCAACAGAATCTGCTTCAAAAAGTTACCTGCTAGATTTATATTTACTACTCTAATGAAGGATATGCACTATCTTTTTTTCTTTAAGGAAAGGGAAATGTATACATTGGTGTCTTGGTCACAAGTTGGGCACTTTTTCTTTTTTAAGATAATGTTTAGGTTCTAAGAATAAGAAAATTCTTGGACCAACTGAACAGACATAGAAATGGTTGGGAATCAGAGAGAAAGCATCTGTCCAACTCTGCCAGAGGAAGTTCCCTTATATCAATGAAGAGAAAAAGCAAATAGGAGGATCTTGAATACACTTAAGAAATTCCTTGAATTACACATTTGAAAGACTGTTACGTTTATAATTCTGCAGGAGAAACAAATGAATTCACACAAAGCTAGGCACAAGTATAAAGCAAAAGTATGGGGAAAAGACATGGAAAAACTTATCACAGTATCAGCATTTTTCTTTACTAAGTACAATATTTGTTCCCTAGTTCTTTTTCCCAACATACGGGATTATAACAATGCTATTAGATGGTTACATAATTTAAGATTAGACTACTGCCTGGGAATAACAGGACAACAAAATGAGAAAAATAAACTCTAAATAAAAGGTGGCACACTAGAAACATTCAATAGATGAAAAAATACATGAAATTAAACAGAGAATCAATATAATTTACATGTTCCAAAACTATACTTCATTTATAAATAGCTCTAATTGATAATTTCCTATTTTAAGGATCATAAATATTCAAGTTGGTGTCTGAATGTTTCCTTCAAGAGTTCAAATTCTTGAAGGTCAGGAAGATCAGTCTCATTTTGCTGAATGTCCAAGACCAAAAGTCTTTACACAATTATTTTATGGTTACCTTTAACAAGTGTGTGAAAGTCTTTATTATCTACTGTGTTTCAATAAAACTTTAAAATTCTGCAACTCTATTACACTTGTGGAGAGTCTGTAAGAAAAAAGAATATGTGTATTAGTAGAAGTCTGATGGATAGATACTTAAAATTTAAATTTTAATTAGTTAACATATTTAACATAATATTTAACATAATATTAAAATAGGATTATGTCTTTTAGAGACCTATTTAGAAAAGTAAAATTCTTCATGCAGCAATTTAATTTATAGATGAAACTGCCAAGAGTTTTAAAAGAGATTATTCAAAGTTGACAAAAACTCAGAGTTAAATCTCTGTATTTGTTGTTTTCTGGTGGCAAATTAAGAGTCAGCTCAATTATTTATACTATGGGGAGGAAAGCTATAGAAAATACAAAACAGTAGGGAAGCTAAAATCATTTACATTTAACTTTTAAGGCACTGCAGGGTTTTGGGTTTTTTTTAGCCTCCTATTGAAATGATCATTCCTTGAGTAAACACCAATTGGCAGTATGAGAAAGCTGCCTGTGACCATGACACCTGGCAAGGGAAAAGGCAGGCTAGGGCTAAAATCTTGGAACAAATGATGCACAAAAACCAGATAATCACCAAACGGGTTAATTGAATGGGTGCTTGCTCAAAAATTCTGTGGTTCTCTACTGTCTCCTTACTAAGGTACAAACACTTTTGTCATCCAAGACCTTCTAGAACCTGGCCTTTTACCTTTCTGGCCTCATCCCATATTATTCCTTTCCTCACACTCTATGCTCTAAAGGGGTTTTACTCTTTGCTCCCAAACCATAATCTGTGCTCTCCCACCTCTCCTTTGCTCTCACTGTTCCCTACATCTGGAAATATATCCTTCTTGCTAGGCCAATAAGAAAACACGGAGTTGAGAATGGTGGGAAGCCCCTAGTATTTAAATCTCTGGCATAGGGGCTGAACTGGCTACCTGGAGGAGTATGTAGTTGCCTTATTTCCCAAGTTGGCAGGTGAGGGAAGGGAGGTTCAGACCGGGGACGAGGCCTTCAGAGCAGTGGTAATTATGCTGGATGGTGGTGACAGAAGAGAGGAGAGCATTAGACTGTCAACCCACCATCCCAGAATGACCCACCAGGCCTAACTAGCACCTAGTTGGCAAGAATAATTTGTTAAAACAGGAAACTACCTTTCTATATTTCTCCTTCCTTTCAGAGCCAAACTCCAAGAAAAAGCTGCCACATTCTGCTTCCGCTTCTTCTCCGTTTTTTTCCCCAATTCTTTATTATCTGGCTTCTGACCTCACTGCCACATTTAAATTGTTCTCTCCAAAATTACCAACAATATCCTAACTTCCAAATCAGATCAGACTTTAAAAAATTGTTCATCTTCTGGATGAGTTGGTAGTTTTTTACACCAATGATTCTCCTAAAAACTGTGGACTTTGAAGTATCCTGCTACAGTGTTCCCCAGCTTGTTCTTTTACTTGCCTACTTCTCAAGTCTCCTTTGCGAGATTATCATATATGGCTGGCCTGCCCTCTCACTAGAGGTGTCTTTCAAGGCTCTATGTTAGGTCCTCTTTTATATACTTTCTATACACTTTCTTGGTGATCTCATCAAGTTCCATCAGTTCAAAGACCTATTTGCACATGATTCCCAGCTCTCTATATACAGGGACTTCTTTGAGCTCCAGTCTTCCCATCAATCACTGACTGCTGGACATCTCCAAATAGAGGGCCCACTAGGCTCTCAGTCTCAACATGTCAAATTAATCAAGTATTTTTAAGCAGATACTATGTGCTAGGCCCTGTTCTAGTACAAAAAATGAAATAATCCTTATAAAGTTAATACATAAGTATGTATGTATACACAGAAGAGCTAAAATACAAGGTAGTTTGGGAAGGACAGCAAGAGTAATTAGGGTGATAAGGAAAGGCTTCATGCAAAATATGGTGCCTAAACTTCATCTTAAAGGAAGAAAGGGACTCTATGAGGTCGAGGTAAGGTGGGAGTATAGTTCCAGACATAGGAAAGGATGGAAGAAAGAGATTGGTGTGTTATGAAAGGAACAGAGAGAAAATCAATTTAACCAGACCACGTGGCACAGGAAGGTATAACGTCCACTGAAGCTGGAAAGACAAATTGAGGCCAGGTTGTGAAGAGCTTTAAAAGCTCAACAGAGAAGTTTACGTTTTATCCTACACGCAAGAAGAAGCCATTGGAGTTGAATAAGACATGGCTGGATCTGCACCTCAAGAAAATTCTTTGACAGCTGTGTGTAGGACGGACTAAAGTGTGGGAAGCTTGAGATAAGGAGACCAATTGGGAAACTTGCAATAATCTAGGGGAGAGGTAGTGATAAACTAAAGTGTTGGTTGAGTGAAGGGAGAGGAGGGGCTGGACACAAGACACTTTATGACGATAAAAACAGTAAGATTTATCAACTGATTGTATATGTGGGATGAGGGAGAGCGGGACATCCAGGATGATGCCTAGATATGAACCTGAGACACTGAAAAGATTGTGGTACCTTTGACAGAAATAGTGAAGTTTGGAAGAGGGAAGGGTTTAGGCTAGGATTCTTAACCATTTTTGTGTCAAAGACCCCTCTGGATAACTGGTGAAGATTATAGATCCCTTCTTAGAATGTTTTTAAAAGTATAAAATAAAATAAAATAAAATACATAAGATTACAAAGGAATCTAAATACACTGAAATACAGTTATCAGATATTAAAAATAATTCTTGGAACCCAGATTAAGAGCCCCTGAATACAGGGAGAAGAGAGGCCTAGGACAGAACCTTGGAATACACCAAAATCAGGTAGCACAATGTGGATGATGCACTAGCAAAGAGCACTGAGAAAAATCAGACAAGAGAAAGCAAACCAGGAGAGAATATAATATCACAAAAGCCCAGAGAGAAGTGAATATCCATGAGGAAATGGTGGTCAATAGTGTCAAATGCAGCAGATAGTTCTGAGAATGAACTTACCACTTTTCCCTTTAAGCTCACCATTCTTCTCCAAACTTTTCTACTTTTGGTTGAGTGCTTTATCTTTCTTCTAGTCACTCAAGTTTACACTTCTACGTCATTCTCCCCTTCCCTCTCCATAACTAATCAATCTGCCACATCAAAACAATTCTTCCCCACAACATCTCCTGCATTCATCTTCTTCTCTCCATGTGGCCAACATCTTATTTCAGGCCCTTGCCACCTTTTGCCCAGACTACTGCCACAGCCTCTAAACTGGATTCCTGACAAGTCTTACCCTTCTCCAATCTGTCCTCAACAGAGCAGGCAAAATAATTTCCTTAAAGCAGTCTGGCTGTCAAACAGGAAAATGATAAATGTTGGAGAAGATGTGGGAAAATTGGAACACTAATGCATTGTTGGTGGAGTTGTGAAATGATCCAACCATTTTGGAGAGCAATTTGGAACTACGCCCAAAGGGCTATAAAAATGTGCATGCCCTTTGACCCAGCAATAGCATTTCTAGGGTTGTATCCCAAAGAGATCATAAAAATGGGAAAAGGACCCACATGTACAAAAATATTTATAGCAGCTCTTTCTGTGGTGGCAAAGAATTGGAAATTGAGGGGATGCCCATCAATTGGAGAAGTTGTGGTGTATGAATGTAATGGAATACTATTGTGCTATAAGAAATGATGAGCAGGTAGACTTCAGAAAAACCTGGAAAGACTTGTATGGACTGATGCTGAGTGAAGTGAGCAGAACCAGGAGAATGTTGTATACAGTGACAGCCACGTTGTGTGATGACTTAACTTTGATAGACTCAGCCCTTCTCAGCAATACAAGATCTAAGACATCCCCAAAAGTCTCATGATGGAAAATGCCTGTGTATAGACTACTTCCCATGCTAAGAATGCATTTCTTCCTCATCTCAATTTCTGAGGATCTGCAGCTTCTTTTCAGAGGCAATTCATGTGCCACTTTCTACAGGAAGCCTTCCTTGACATTTCCCAAAAGTGCTGATACTCTCTTCCTCCTTAAAATACATATCTGTTTCCATGTTCTGTTGCCCTAGTATAACATAACTTGTTTAAGAGCAGAGATTTATTTTTTATTTCAATTTGTATCCATGATGCTTTACACATAAGGTGTGTTTGACAATAGATGATTTTTGGATTAGATTGGAAGCATCTTCCCCAGTCTACTCTGTCCACTTGACACCTCAGGATTATGTCTCAGGATATCTGTCTCTTCCTCCCCAAATGAAGGAACCTTCTTTCTTGCTTCTTGACCCATATTTTTTTCTATGACTATTAACTATATGTCTATGTGGGGAGGGGGATGGAGGCAGGGTGATCTTTGAAAATGTATATAGGAGGCAGCCTGGGGTAGAGAATAAGCCAGGAAGAACAGGATTCAAATCCAGCCTCAAACACTTGCTAGCTGTGTGATGTTGGGCAAGTCATTTAACCTCGCTAAGACCATTTTGTCATCTCTGTATGAAGGGGTGAGCCTCTAAGCAAAACCTCACTGGGCTCTAAGGCCCTTCTAGCTTTAACTAGAATCCTGTGATATGACTGTGTGGTGCAAACCAGTGGTAGGCCTTTACACACATACACTGTATATCGCATATGTCTCTTGACGTGTGGTGGATCTCTGTTTATGGGGGGACAGCAGGTCTTTGGATTACGGGGCGGGTATACACATGGGGAAGGATTCAGGGCACTTATGTCTCTCTCTGTATTGGTGAGGGAACACAATAAGTGTGGGTATTGCTGCCTTCCATCCTTAGTGTCTGGTGGGTTGAGGCGTCCAGGGTAGTTAGCAAAAGGAAGGCAATCATACAAAATACAATTAGTTTCCACATGTAAAATATACATGCTGAAGTCTGTAATTCCCTTCCATGACCAACTCTTTCTAGCTTCTTGGTGACTCTGATACTGGGTCTAGAAAAAGTGGCTTAGTTTAAGTTACTTTACTAGAAATTATCATCATTTTTGTAGCTCAAACTTATTTAAGTGGTGGTATAAGCAAGATCTGCATTATGAAGAAGATTCTTACCTTCCAAATGCATTTAAAAGAGCAACTATTTCTTCACGAGTGAGTTGAAAACCTTTAGATGGGCTATTCTCTGGAAGATTTTGAATTTCTTTTTCAGAAAACAGTATCTTCAAAGCAGTTCCTAAACCCTGAGTCTAGATGAAATAACATATATTAATTTTATTTTGTACATAGATAAAAAGTATTTACTTAGACTTTTAAGATAAGTTTCAAATCCCCATGATGACATTCAACAAGTTAGTATCTAATGGGATTAATTTTTATTTAATTAACAAGTATAAACTCTACAAAAAGTATACATTTATCCAGCCAACATATTTTAAATTAAATTATAAAAACAAAAAGTGCAAGCCAGCAAAGAGGAAAAAGCCAAAACACTAAAAACTTCACTTTCTACTTTTAATTTATCTACAGGATGAATTTACCAGGGATAAGTTCAATATGAACATATATAAATAATTTAAATATATGAAAACAATTATCCTATACACATGCAAGTATGTATTTGTATATATGGGCATGTGAATGTGTTTATACACACACACACACACTTCAAACAATTAAAAAACTTTCAGCCTAAAATAGAAAACATTTCTTAATGTAGTCTAGGAGATAGGTGAAGAACGATGTACTTGAAAATCATACTTGCTTGCTTTGATGTACAATCTTAAAATTTTATAAGCTAGCTCCCCGGCACAAATGATAATGAAATGCTCACATGAGAGTATTATCTATCTTTAAATTTGTTTCCATTTTAAAATGTTTGTTTTAGTACCTTACTATCTTACATTTGCTCCTACAAAATAAATACCATTAGTTTAGTGTCTAGGAATGACTCAAATTTACACAGTACTCTACTGTTAGCAGAGCATTTTACACATTTCATCTCATTTAATCTTCAAAATAGCCCTGTGATAGCATTGCCATTATACATATTTTACAAATAAAGCCTTGAGTTTAAGTCTCACTTCACCTACTGAACAGCTTGTGTGACCCCAGGCAAGTCACTTACGTATGTATATGTGTGCAGGATAATTTCTCTCAGTCTCAATTTTTTCATCTGTAAAATGGAGATAAGGTCTGCAACCCTTACTTCACAGGGCTTAGGTAAGGTCCAAATGAAATAATGCATGTAAAGCATTTGGCAAACCTTAAAACATTAGATAAATGTCAGATATTATTACTGGTTTTTTTGGGTTGGTTTTTTTTTTTTTTTGCTCCAAACCTGTTAATTCCTGCAGCGTAGAATGTCTTCACTACTGCAGATCAGTAACTTACCTGCAACTCCACAGTGGAGCTGCAGGGGGCACTCAGAGGCTAAGGGACTTACAAAGGATGACAAAGCTAGGAGACATTAGGGGGCTTCCCGAGTACAAGTCTAACCCCCTGTGCACCATCATCATAATTATGGCTTTATTACCCTTTGAAAAAAGTAAAGAAAGAGAGGGCTTGTCATGTTCATAAGGTAATGCTTTGAAACTGGATGAACCTTTTCTCCACTAATACTTGGTTTAAAAAAAATAAAAATAGCAGCTAACATTTATATAGTACCTACTATGTGCCAGGCACTGTGCTAAGCACTTTTACAATTATTAACTCATTTGATCTTCACAACTATGCTGAGAGGTAGATGTTGTTAACATCCCCACTTTACAGTTGAGGAAACTGAGGCAAACAGAGGTTAAATCACTTGCCCAGGGTCACACAGCACAAGTGTCTGAGGCTGGATTTGAACTCCAGGTATTCCTGACTCCAAGCCCAAAACTCTACCCACTGTACCACTTCGCTGCCTAAAAAGGACTGAAATGGAAGGTTTGAATGACTTTTAATATTTATATCAAATATAAGAACAAATTGTATATATTATGCCTATTAAAATGTTTTTATGATTTCACTGAACTGGGTATTACCTATTCCAATCTAGTAGATAGTCTTAATGAATTGCCAGGATCGAAAAACTTCATCTCCTGGTAAGCAACTTCCTTCCCCTAGGGATAATATTCTCCAAAGTTTAGCTAAGGCTTATGCTGGGGTGACAGATTCTTTCTGGACCTACACTCAAAGTCTTTTCCAATTACGAGGACCTGCCAAAACTTACACTTAATTCCCTGGCCCAGACCTTTAAGGCTACTTGCTGTATCACAATGAGGTTGCAGAGTAGGGCTTTAGTGGAGGTATTTAACAAGTAAATATTTTCCTATTTGTATACATATAATGTAATAGTGTATAGATTCTTCACATGTTCAAACAAGGACACTATCATTTTCTTTTGCCTGTATCAAAGCTTTACTTTGAAAAGAATTTTAAAAATTTATAAACAGCTCTGAACTGCTTAGTGGAAGGCATTCAGTATAGTAGTAACAATACCAAAAACAAAGAAACAAAGACATACATACCTGTAGTTTTCCCCATAACCTGCATTTGTCACATCCAACACAGTCCATTATACGTGATATGTTCTTGAAATGCAACCGCAGTTCCTCCTGATAGATAGAAAATACTTCCACTATGGTTAAACTAGACCTTTAACTATATTTAGCTGAAACAATAGTAAATTATCTAAAAAACAATCCTTCAAATAAAATGTATGTTCACCAGAACTATGACGTAACTGCAAAGGGGAAAAAAAACCCCACAAATCAAAACAAACAGTGATCGCAGTCTTCAGAGATAAGGGCTGGGGCTGCACCTCTGATGTCAGTGGTAGGGGAGCTCCCCATCAGGGACAGGTCATTACCATCTCTGCAATTTATTTTCTTAGCTAGCTGCTCAGAGCCCTGAAAAGTTAAATGATTTGCCCAGGGTCACACAGGAAGTATGTATCAGAGGCAGAATCTGAACTCAAATCTTCCTAGTTCCTAGGCCAACTCTATCCACCATGAAATGCTGCCTCAGAATGCAGTCTTAGGTTATATTAACAGAAGTATTGTATCAAGAACCCAGACTAATGTACTGTACTTCAAACAACAAACCTCACTCTAAAATGGTCAAATTATATTTCAAGCATTACTTTTTGTTTAAGGTACCATACTTTCGGAAGGATACTTGACAAATTATGGAGCATAATAGAAGTAGTATGGTTGAAAGGGGTGGGGCTCAACACCAGGGCAATATAAGAAAAGGCTGAAAATAGTGGGACATTTTATTTGAAAGAAAACCTCAAGGAAGAGTATGATAGCTGCCATAAAATATCTCAGGGGCTCTCATGTGAAAAAGGTCATTCTATATGGCTCAAGAAAATATAATCAGAACCAATGGATTAAGTTACAAGAAAGCAACTTTTAGCATATGAGGAAAAGGTTTCCAGCAATTAGTTTTAAAATAGAATAAGCTGCACTATAAGGCAATAAGCTTCCTAATATGTATGCACAGGGTAGCTGACCATCTGTTGGAGAGGTATCTTGGTTAGGTGGAAAATTGGGTTAGATGACCAACCTCTTAGGTTCCTTTCAAATTCCATAACTGAAGGGGTACTAAACTGACAACTTTATACAATCAATTAGCATCACCGCCAACTTATAATATTTACCTGAAGAACCTTTATTGAAGGCAAACTTTGTACAAAGCACTCCATGGGGAACCATGAGAGATTCACAAGTAAATATGTCTTAAGTCCCTGTCTTCAAGAAGCAAGCACAACTATTATAAACATCTTCTGTGTCTGGCAAAGTATCTATGCACTTGTTTTGCACTATAATCTTCTTTATGTTTTGCTATATATGTTTCAGTCAATAGCAGTTCCAGAACACAAATCCTTTGTTCCCTCAAGTTTACATAACTTTTTCATTAGAGAACTCAGATGAATACTTCACTGAAAAATGTGAGGCCATATGCCATAAGCTACCTCTTCTCTTCAACTCTACACTCCAAATTATCTCAATATCAACCCTGATTTTTCTTCTTTGTTCCTGGCTCAGAAGAAGAAATGGCCTTTCTTTGTGCAAACACCAATTCCTCTATTTATATCCTTCATACTAACCTTTCTCCTTTCCTCTGGGAGCTTACCTTTTGATAATTCTCTTTCCTTAATTTTCAATCACTGCTTATTCTATGGTTTCGTATCTAATGCCTATAAACATGCAAAGACCTCTCCCATCCTTGAAAAAAATCTTTACTTTATCCTACTACCACATCAGCTTATCATCCTATAGCTTTCCTCTCTTTCACCGTCAAATACCTAAAAAAAGCCATCTACACTTGTTGCATCCATTTTTCCTCTTCACACTGACTTCTTAGTCACTTGTGACCTGGCTTCTTTCTGACCTCATCACTTAACTAAAACTTCTATCTACAAGGTTACTAATGTTCAATTAATTGCCAGCTCCTTCTTAGTTGCCGCTGCTGGATCACTTCAAATATATGGGGTGCTCATGAGAGTCCTATAGTGAACTCTCTTCTTTCTTTATGCCTTCTTGGTGATTTCATCAGTTCCCCTGGGTTTAATTAACTTCAGATAGCTTCCAGAGCTACCCAGCTTATCTTTCTGAATTCCAGGACTACATCAACAACTGCTTATTGGACATCTCCAACTTGACTGTAGTTACTAAAACATGCCCAAATCAGAACTTATTTCCCCAAAACCTTCCCTTCTGCATAACTTTCCAAAGTTCTCAACCTCAAAGTGATCCGTGATTATTTTTCCTTTCTCTTACCCTTATCAGCTATCAAGTTTTACTGATTCCATCTGCATGATATATCTTGCATTCAAGCCTTTCTTTTAACTCACACAGCTACCACTCTAATTTAGGGTCTTAACACATTTCACCTAGATTACTGCAACAGCCTATCTGGCTGATCTGCCTCAAGGCCCTCCCCTTTCCCAATTATCCTCCAACAAAACTGCCTGAGTGATATTCCTAAGGCACAGGTATGACCGTGACACTCTCCAAACTCGAGAGGCTCTCGCAGCTCCCTCCTGCCTCTAGGATCACACACAAGAAGGCCTCTGTCTGGCTTTTAAAGCCCTTCACAACCCGGCTGTACTCTCCTTTCACACACTGCAATCCAGGCAAACTGGTCTTCTTATTTATCCTGGCCCATGACATTCCACCTCCCTTCTCTGTACCCAGGCTATTCCCCCAAGCCTGGAACAAATGCCCTCCTAACCTCTACTTTACAGAATGCCTAGCAGATTTTAAGGGACATCAAGGCAGCAAAGTAGATAAAGTGTTGTTCCCTGGAGTCAGGAAGATTTGAGTTCAGGCATTTACTATGTGTGACCTTGGGCAAGTCACTTAACACAGTTTGCCACAGTTTCTTCATCTGTAAAATGAGCTGGGGAAGGAGATGGCAAACCACTCCAGTGTCTTTGACAAGAAAATCTAAAATAGGGTCATGAAGAGTCAGACATAACTAATCAACAGCAACAAAAAAATAAACTTCAAAGCTGTTCAATATTACTCCCTGCATGATACTTTTCTTGATCCCACACCCTCCCCATCAGCAATTTAATTTTTTTTTCTTTATATATGTACAGGTCATTTACTCCTAGAAAACGTGAGCTCCTTAAATGCAGGGACTGTTTCATTTTTGCCTCATTATCCTCAGTACCTACAAGTGCCTGGCACATAGCAGGCACTTAATTATTTCTTGTTGATGTACTGATTGGCTACCATCATACTAAGCTTGTGGTACACAAAATCCCCCAGAACTTTCTCAGAAATACTGTTAACCAGGCTTCTTTCATCTTGTACTTGTGGAATACAGTCTCCTGAATCCAAATATAAGACTTTACATTTATCCCTATTAAATTTCACCTTATTCAAACCAGTTCAATGGTCTAGTCTATCAAGATCTTTTTGAATGACTTCATTAGCTATTCCTCCCAGCTTTGTGTCACCTGTAAATGTGATAAGAATGTCATCTATGTCTTTATCCAAATCATTCATGAATGAATGAAATGCATTTATTAAGCACCTACTACTACATGCCAAATACTATTGTAAATCATTGAGAAAAATATGAACGCTCAGGACCAAGCAGATTCTTGAAGCCTTTAATTGGAAACCTTCAAGTTGACACTTACTCATGAGTACTTAGTGTGACCAGTTAACCAGTTCCTAACCCAGTTAATCATCCTATATTGTCTACCTCACATCTCTTTTAACTTGTCCATAAGAATACTACAAAAAATTCTTATCAATTACAATGCTAAAAATCTAGGTAAATGGTAATTATAGCATTCCCCTAGATCTACCATTTTATTAATCCTAGAAAGGTAAAGAAGTTAATCTGGCGTACTCAGAGAATTACCTGAAGCAAAGCTTATTTGATTATTTTTTATACACCCTTGAAAAACAGTAGACAAATTTTACTTTATTCATTCACTTAAAATGTAATTTCAACTTGCATTTAAAAACAAATGCAACAATAATACTAACCTAAAATAAGACTATATCATGACTATTTCCTTACATAAACGCAAAGACACCTACTCCCACCAACATAGACTCAGCAGCCTTTAGCTTCCTTTGTTTAGGAATATCAGAAGCAAATTTTTCCACTCAATTCCAAATATTTTTGTGGTAACATAAAATAGGGGACATATTTACCATCATATATGTTGAGTTAGCAAAGGCAGATGTATCAAAGAACTCTGAATAGCTAAATTAAACTACTTATTACCAAAAACATGCTCTCCTTTTGCTATCACAAATAACAAGTAATTGTCTATTAGTCAATTAGTCAATAAGCAAACAAATTTAGTTTGTTAACCATGTGATAGCTAACAAAAAAATCTAAAAATGACTGGCAGTATGTTTTAAGGAAAGTGAAAGGCCTCATACCTTCCAAAGCTCTCTATCAGTAGCCCACTGCAATACTACATTATCAGGGCCCATGGGTGGCACAGCGAATAGAGCACTGGCCCTGGTTCAGAAGAACCTGAGTTCAAATGCAGACTCAGACACTTACTAGCTGTGTGACCCTGGGGAAGTCACTAAACCCTAACTGCCTCAGGGAAAAAAATACTAGGTTACGGAATTTATAAAAAGGATAGCATCATACCGAGTTAATTGGATGAAATAACCTATTCTTCCCTTACAAGCATGCCATAGAACTCTAGAAATTTAGAAGTGCTATGAATCACAGATATATAGTATTTATATATCCTCTCTTTCTATTTCTAATATTCTTCTAAATGTATGCTCACTTGGAAATAACAGTATTTCCCTACTAGGAAGTAAAAAAGCCATTAGGTGACAGATACTGAACTTGAAATCAGGAAAAATGGGTTCAAATCCTGGCTCTTCCATTTCAGCTATGTAGCCTTGGCCGTTTCTTAACAATTACAAGTCTGAGTTTTTTCATCTGTAACACAGGTGGGGCTGGATTAGATGACCTTTAATATTCCTTCTAATTCAAAGTCTATTCTATCATTCAGTGAATTTTAAAATTGTTGTATATAAGTATATTCTCATGAAAACAAAATGCTTATTTCATCAGTATTTAGGTATGGATTTTTTTAATTGGATGAATATCTGGTTTAATTCCCTTCATTTCCTTCAATGATGTTACAAACTAACACTCATAATTTCCATTTAAACAAAAGGAACATAATAGAAAATTTATCTTTTAGAAATATTAGGTAATAATATTTTACATAATAATTTTTTAAAAGAAAACATAATATCAGTGAACTTGAAAATGGATAACTCAGGTCACAATCTCATAGAACTGCTCAGCTCTTCAAAATCTTCTGATCATTTTAAAAAAACATTTCCACATCACACTCACAGGACAGAATTACCAAAAATCTGGACAAATCAGAAAGTAGAATATAACTAGCAAAAATAGGAAAGGAAATGAATATATTCTCTTCTCTGTTCAGTAATAGTGCCACAATATCCAATCAATGGGAGCAGCTAGGTAGCGCAATGGATAGGGCACCTGAATCAAGAAGACTCATCTTCCTGAGTTCAAATGTGACCTCTGACACTTACTAGCTATGTGATCCTGGGCAAATAACTTAACCTTGTCTGCCTCAGTTTTCTCATCTGTCAAATTAGCTGGAGAAGGAAATGGCAAACCACTCCAGTATCTTTGCCAAGAAAACCCCAAATGGGGTTACAAAGAGTTGGACATGACTGAAAAAAATCCAATCAAACTGATTTCAAAAAGTGAGAAAAATGGTTGAGAATCAAAAGAACAAAGGTCAATAGGAACTGAAATAGGACTAATTTTAAAAATTAATTTAAAGTTTATTTTGAAATGTTAAAGAAATGTTACTGACATTACCTTCAATGATTTAGCCTCCTTTTGGTTTCCTGCAAACATGGATTTCTCATCAAAATGCATAGGGAAGGACCTGATCAAATAACAATTTTATGGTAAAAGAAGGATGAAAATTTATATACTGTGCATTAAAGCTACATAGTTTTTATCACTACAGATATTTTAAAATTCTCAAATGACTTTATGTTACTATCATGACTTAAACCCTGAAGGAAAAATGTCAATTAATGTGGAGACTGCTCAATAAAAAACTAGATCAAAATGACAGATGTATTATTATAACAGATTGAAACAACTAAATGAAATTATACACTAAAAGGTCATCATGAAAAATAAGTGATTAAGTGAAGCATGGTATAAACAAAAGCATCTAAAAATTCAAGAAAAAAAATTAACTTGAAATTTTTCTAACTCTAACTTTTTTCCTGAGTCTATCTGAATATTCAGTTTAAGCTGAGTAAGTTTGAGATTTTCAGGGAGGACACTGTGCCACAATTCTATTTTATGTAGGAGGCAGTATAATGTAACACTGGACTACACATCAGAAGCCCTGATGGGTTAGAGTCCCGGCCCAATCCATTCATTAGTTGTATGACACTGGGCAAGCCAGTAACCTCCCTGAGACTCAATTTCCTTAGCTGTAAAATAGGGATAACAATATTTACATTACCTACCAAGGCGTAGCTGTTGTTACAATCAAATCACTTAACAGATGGAAAGTGTTTTATAATTTTAAAGTACTATATAAATGTTAGTTACATAAAGCACACATCTTTAAGGATTAGTTAGGGTAGTTTATCCTAATTTCAAACAACAAAAATAATGGTAAAAAAAAATACCCTACAAAGTTAAAATGGCAATGGGTTGAGTAGAGATTCAGAAAGTGAGCAAAACCAAAAGCAGACAAAGAATGACAATGTCTTGACAAGCTAGCACATGAAGAATGGCATTCCAGACAGAGAATGTAACAAAAGGCTGCTATGCAAAACTCAAACTTACAGACTTCTATTTTTTGAAATAGAAGTAGTAATAATTTCTTAATTGTGAAGCAGTTTCAGCAACTGAGATGTCTAGAAACATTTTTAAATTTCATTTCCAGAAATATTTTCAAATAATGATATTCTAATGATCCTTTAAAAGTCTAATTCTGCCTTTCTTCACTGACTTTTATATTAATCTCCATTTTTCATTTCAATTTACACAAAGGCTATCTTTTATGCAAAGGTAAGAAATAACTTCAAATCACTGAGATTCAATTCTTACTTTGTATCTCGAAAGATCTCCAACAAAAGGGTTTTTGTCTCAGCATCTTCTTCTGCGTTTCCAGTGTAAAGGTCAACAATTGAACGCTCAAAGTACGGGGCAACCTTTGATAGAGCTCGGAGTTCAATCAAGTACAAAAAGTAGAGGTTCTTTAACCTTCTAGGCCCTTCCCCTTTGGTCTCCACAGGGTCAAAGCGGCGCTTAAACTCTTTGATGTTGGGTCCCCAACTAGGTTTTCCCCAAGTTTCTAAAACAGAAAGAAGTAAAAAAAAAAATTTCCTGTGTATATGGATTACTTATAACATGGGGAACGTGTATTTTCTTTCTTTTTTTCTTTGCTTAAATACTAGGTTTCCATGTCTCACTCAGGCTGAAGTGAAGAGGCTATTCCCAGGCCTAGTCCCACTATTGCCTGGTGCAGATTTGGCCTGCTGTTTCAAACATGTGCTGGTTTGCTCCTCCTTAGGCATTAGGTTTAATACCCACGAACCTCCCCCCACTCCCACCCCAGGGGCTCAAAGTATTGAAGCTAAACTTAGTGCAGATACACAACTGGCATAACCTGATACGATTCAGAATTCCTGAACTTAAAAGATCCTAGCCTCCCCGGAAGCTGGGATTATAGTCTTGCATCGCTATACCCAATCCATGCATTTTCCACAATTATTTTATTGAGTATATACAGAATGTGAAATGTAATATTTAAAAATCTGATTACCTTCCAAAAGATATTTTGCAGACAGATGTAAGTTGATGCTAGCATGAAGCCCAGAAATTAGTTTATAGAATACTCTTTTCTCCAGACACAAACCTATACAGGAAGACATTGTGGGATATATAGATAGATAGATAGATAGATAGATAGACAGACAGACAGACAGACAGACAGACAGACAGACAGATAACAATTGTAAAATTACAAGTCAATGTACAATCCAAAAAACTTTAGGAAGGCATTTTGTCATTCATACTTTGTATATCAGGGGAAAAAAATCACAGCGAAAATCCATTGCCTTTCTTGATTCATACTCTAGCAGAGTGGCCTGAGCCTAGCAAGCAGATATAGAGTTACATCAAAGAACAATCTGTACTGGAGATATATGCTAAGGGTGGTCAATAACAGAAGGCTCTTTTTCTATACTTATATACACACTAAAACACTCATAATAGCGACCCTCATGTTGGTAAAAAGAAAATGGAAATAGCACGAGTTCTCACTGACTGGAGAACACATGATGGTATAAAAATGTAATGGATTATTACTGTACTGTAAGAAATGATAAATAAGGAATTCAGATACACATGGTAAGACTAATTGTATGAAGAGTTGTGGAGTTAAACAAAGGAAATATATGAAATGATTATAATAATATAAACTTGAAAACAATAAAAGTAAGATGAACTCTAAACACAATGACCAATCTAGGTTCTGGAGAACTGAGGATGAAATATACATCCCTTTCTTCAGTAGAGAGATGGGTTTGGGGGTAGGAGAAGAAAGGACAAAATGGTGTATATATTATATGTATAATAATTACAAATATATTATAAAAATATATATATACACACACATAATAGTTGCTTTGTAGGTACAGTTTAGCTTAAATGTTTTCCTGCTGAAGTGGATTATGTAATACTGTAAATTAATGTGATGTTTTTTCAAAAGGCATCAATAAAAAAAAAATGGAGGGGTGGGAAGAATGATACAGACATGGCATCCTTGATCAACTTTTTTTTTTAAACACAAAGTTGCATGCTAGTCAAAAGCAGACCAATTGTAAAGGTAAATACTAAATATATATGAAAATATGCAGAAGCTGCTGATAAATGATGTCATTAAATTATTTACCTTCTAGCCATTTGTAGAATGATTCTCCTGAAAAGAGAGATTTTAGTTAAAACTTTTTAACAGTCAAACAGAAACTAGACTAAATTAAGATGATAGCATTTAGAGATGGAAAGGTCTTAGACTATCCAGTCGAACACCTTTATTTTACAGAAAAGAACTGTGAAGCCCAAATAGTTAAGTGACTTGCCCAAAGTCATACAGATAAGCAAATTGCAGAGATGAGTATTTGAACCCAGGTTCTTTAGACTCTCGATCTAGCGCTTCTACTGAATCCACTAATAAAATTCCAATTTAAAAACTGTCCAATATCTACAGTATGTAGAACACTATGCTAGATATGGCAGCAAACACAAGTAATACTTGTGTGTATTGCCCATAAATAACTTAATTACTTAAATTAGTTAGGAGAATACTTCTAAACAAAAGTCTCCTTGAGCGTATTAAAAAACTGTTAGTAAATCTTCCAAACAATTTGACAACTTAAGTAAAAGTAAGAGTATCCTCTATACACCTTATCTTCTCTAAGCTAAACATCTACAGTTCCTTCACATAATCCTTAGGTGCCTCAGTCTCCAGTCCTCTCATTTTCCTAGTTGACCTCTTCTGGAGATAATCCAGCTTGTCAGCGTCCTTTGGTGTCCAACTAGAAAGCCTCTGGGGAATTACTCAGTTATTACACTCCTATTCATCAAAGAGATGTATACAACAGACTACATATTCCAAATCTAGAAAAGCTAAAGACGTTACAAGGAAAATCGCCTCAGGAAGGTACCTCAATGTTCTCTCTATATGACTATTTCTCAGAATTTCTATCTAGAGAAAATATTGGGGGAGGGGAGGAGTTGCAAGAAACTGAAGGTGGAAGCAATATGATATCATGATTTCTTTAATCAACATAATATATAAAACTAGCCCTTTTTTATAACCCAAATTTAACAGGATAGCTTTATATTGTACTTAGAATCCTGATTTTGTTGTGTTGAAAAAATTCTTTACTTATTAATAAGCAGTTACCTAACAATGAGAGTATAAAAAATATCATGTACATTGATTATACATATAATATATATGCATATACATACATACATGTATGTATGTGTATGCATACACCTATACCTATATCTGTATCTATATTTATATGGATGCTAGGTGGTGCAGTGCATAGCAATGCATAGAGTGTCAGGTTTCATCTTCCTGAATTCAAATCTGGCCTCAGACACTTAGTAGCTGTGTGACCCTGGGCAAGTCACTTAACCCTGTTTGCCTCAGTTCCCCTCATCTGTAAGATAAGCTAGAGAAGAAAATGGCAAACCACTCTAGTATCTTTGCCAAGAAAACCCCAAAAAGGTGGTCATGAAGAGTTGGACATGACTGAAACAACTAAACAACAAATAAATGTGTGTGCATATACATGCATGCATACATATACATTCGCTGACAAAACTAAGAACGTGATTTAGACAGAAAAACTGAAGCTTAGTGTTTGTTAGGCTCTCTTTTATATACAGTCTAATTTCAGAACCAAAAAAATGCTTTAAAAAAAAAGAATATCTTCTCTTAGGTAAAATGTATAAATTAAAAGTTGTCAAAATTTAGCCATTTGAAAGAATTCTCTATCAGCTGTAGCTCCAAATATTTTCATTTCTTAAAATATCAAATTTTAACTTACCATCATCCTTTCCTGGAGAAAAAAATAACAGTAGTTATTTCAAAACATGAAAAGTATTTCAAAATAATTCAAAAAACTCTTTCTATACACATTAAGTATGGGAAACAAAACACATACTATAGTATGCTATGCTAATTACTTTGGATATAGCACAAAGTAAATAAGACACCCTGAACATGAATTGTTTATCCTGAGGTACTATGAGAAGAGTCCAATGAATAAAATTTAATCTATAACATGAATACATTAAGTAAATAGCATTATTAAGGGCATACTATATTCCCTGCTGGGGAACTGCTGGGGATACAAACAAAAATCTAAGAGTCCCTTTCCTCAAAGAGTTTACCCAGTAGGGGGAATACAACATGTATACCAATCATGTGCATGGTCTATATTGTATGAGTAAAAATATTTTGAAGTCATATCGTATGGACTAAATTTTCTTATAGAGTCACCACAACAGGACCTAGCTAGGCAAAGAACAGGATGGTCACTTGAGGAATTCTTTTTTCATGGTATCTCATGAAACAGAGGAAGATAACAAACTACAATTTGGTCCTGTTGTGGCATCTTCTCCATGACCGTGGCAGAGTATTATGAGGAGAAGAAAGTGCTAAGAATCATTCGTTTTAACATATAATAAATACAAAACAGCACTTAGTCTTGTGGTGGCAACTGCTGCTTCTGCAATAGAAGCAACAAGAGAAAAGGAGCAGAAGGTGCTAAGAACTACCCAGTTTGTAGATCATCTATAAAATTTAACAACAGTTGCTATGTTATGTCAGCTATAGGTTACTGGGCCAGGAGTCATGAAGTCCAAGGTTCAAATCTGGCCTCAGACATTTCCTAGATATGTCCCTGAACAGGTCACTCAACCTCTACCTGCCTCAGTTTCTTCATCTGTAAAAATGTAGATAACAGTTCCTACATCCCAGGGTTAAGGATAAAAATATAACATTTGTAAAGCACTTTGCAAACCTTAAGGTGCTATGTAAATGATAGCTATTATTATTTTATTACTATGTGTGAAATCCTTATCCAATCATTGAAGGGCCACAACTATTGGAGAACTGAATCGTATCAATCTTGATACTTTTATCATAAATGAAACCAGGAAACAAAAGTTAAGTTGCAGCTGAATGGAAAAATGACTCATAGGTTCTACATGGAGAGGGAAATAAAGGATTTGGCAGAGCTGCTAACCTTAACTTGCGATAAGCATTTGCCAAAATGAAATAAAACCAAAAACCTTTGCAGGGAGTGAGGAGGTAGAAATATTATAAGGCAACCTTCTAAATTAGATCAACATACTTAACGACTACAATGCAAAGCTTGATATAAAGGAGGGTGGCATTATAGAGAATATAAGGTAGTCTCTATCTATACCTAGGAATCTTTGGTTTAAAGTTCTATTAGAGCTATAAATTCAGTGGAGATAACAAACTCTCAAGAACTAAATTCTGAAGACACAAAAAGAAACAACTGTGAAGAACAGGAGTGAATGGAAGTCAGACTGCTTACAATGGAAAAAATATAGGACAGTCCCAAGAAAGTTGAGTTTAATTCCCAATGGAAAAAAAATCAGTAGCAGACGTAAATTCTAGAATTGTTCTGAGGGCTCAGGCTTTTCCCAGTACAGGCCTATGCTGGGAACAGTTGTCTCAGACATAACTGTACCTAAACCTTTACAACAAGCCTGCAACCAACCTTATTTTCTATGAATTCTTAGGACTAAGAATAAGTGGAATTGATGAGCCAGCGATAGCTCTAATTGTCCCAAACCAGTGACCAAGTGATAACACTTGCTCTGTGCAAAGTCTACTCAAAATGGAAACAAAACATTAGTTAATTCAAGTAGCCTGGAAATTGGCTAATACCAGAGTTATTAGAAAGAAAAAAATGTTTAACATTCTATGTTTAGGATTTTCAGTTTTGTAAATGGATCTTTAAGAACCATATTCCTATAAAGTTTTTTCAAGATACTTTGCTATGAAACAAATTTGACCTCTGATGATTTTTTTAACTTATAGATCCAGTTTTTATTCTATATAAATTATGTGGTGAAATTTACTATAAATTTATAACAAAAAGTGTATACTTAATGCATATACGGACAACATAAAATTCAAGGGAAGATTAGCTGTATAAAAAGGTTTTGAAAGTAGCCCTAAGTATATAGATGCAGATATTTTTAAAAACCCACCCCAGCTGGGTGCCAGTGGATTCAAAGGACGATACACAGATCGAGGCCTGGAAGAAAGAAAGAAAATGAGTTTTGGAGAGCATAAAGTACTGTTTTCAAAACACATACACATACAAATAACTACCCTCCCTTCTCATCCCTTGACCATTACTTGAAACAATTTTCTTCATAGATGCTATTCCACACTCTCCACGCAGACGGCCCTTTGTATCCCGTGTAACGCTCTGGGTTTAGCAATAGGTCCACATACTGGGCGGCTGGAGATCTCTCGTCTGAAAAGGAAATAATTCTGGATTATAAATCTCATCTCATCTCTTGTTTAAAACTTAGTATCACTACGTTAAAGGGAAGGTAAATGTTTAAAATAATAGCCCCAAGAAATAGTAGTGATGGGGTGCTTGGGTGCTTGTGCTTTACTTGGACCCCAATTTCTCCCTAGTCTCAGAAACACCATCTCTGACAATCATTCCCCAGCCCAAGGTCACTGTGCCTAGCAATTACTCATGTGTGGGCCCCAGCAAGACCCTTATCTCTCTCCCAGGTGCAGCTACACAAAGCTGGGTGAGAGAGTGCTGGGCTGCTCAGGCCCCAGCTCTCAGATCATGTCTCTGGAAGCCTCCCAATTCCTTAATAAGCTCCTTCTTGTGAGAAAGCTTTCCCTTGTTGCAGAGCATTCTCTCGTCAAGACAGAGAGAAAGGGGTGCCTTGCCCAGTCCAAGGAGTTTTGTCCTTGGCTGGCCCAAGGACTCTTCCTCCTGCCAGACTCCCAAGATCCATACCTCTGATATCTCCCTCCCTGTCTGGTATACTCCCTGTGCTTTCCCATCCATAGCTCCCAAAGACATCTGGACCTTTGGATTACCTAATCTGTATCTCTGGCATTCCTTTCCCATGCCCTTTTCCATATAAACCCTAGCTCTATCCTCAGTCTCTTGCAGGTTCCTTAAGAATCCTTGCCCGCTGAAAAGCATAACAATAAATCTTTGCCACCTTGACTTAAAGAATGCTTGAGTATGTGAATTCATTCCAGACAACCCCATCCTGTACTCCAGTCTTTGGGGGGATCTCAACCTCTCAGACCACAACAGTAGCAGAATATGAACAACTGTGATATAGAAGCATACTTATGAATTAGCATAACTTAATGATAAGGAAAGAAGTCACTATTTTCCTCTGAAAATTATGTTATTCTTTTTAATTGTATAATATTCCCTTCTACTACTAGGGATTTTAAAAATAAGTTCATAAATTTTAAGAATACATACAACTGAAAAGATTTATGAGAGGCAGAATCTACCTCAATTTTTCATATTTATATGTATATATTATAATTTTTAGATTTTTCTCCCTTAAATGTACACATGCCTGAATAGGTAGTCTGGAAATGATTAGTCTGTGTGACCTATGCACACTAGATACTTAATAAAAATTTATCATTGCTGTTATTAAAATTTGCCTCTCTATCTTTGGGCTTATTCACTAAACAGATAACTTTTGCTAGAAGACTATAATTTGAACTTATGTAAATGTTCAATTTCAAATAAAACCAATGACAAATGTTACCGATTTTTCCTCCTCACACTGACAGAATGAAGTGATTTTCTCCTTACGCCAAAATGAAAAAAATTGAATTTCAGTTTCCTTTTACCCTTCAGGAAACTCTGGAAGAAAGGACAGACTATACTGTTTTCTGAAGGCTGAATCCACATAATGTGGATTTAAAGTATATTTTTATTTAAAATACCTTGTATTTTATTTTTACTTATTTTGTTACATATTTCCCAATTAAATTTCACCTAGGTTCAGGCATCACTGAGCTTGCACTGAGTTTGACACCTCTGCTTTAGGGGATGTGGACAGGGACTATAGCTGATTTCACTGATACAGGGAAGAGCCAAATGAAGAAAACCTCTTTAGCAATGCAGGCTGGCACCTTCTTAAAAGTTTACTGTCTTAAGAGACCTACCTAGGGCGATGAGAGGTAAAGTTACTTTTCAGGGTAAATGAGCCATTATGGATCAAAGGTGAGACTTGAATCCAAGTTTTCCTGGCTCCAAGAACAGTTCTTTATCCACTTCACCATATGACCCCTCCTCCTTTTAATCACTTACTTTCTAAAGTGAAAATTAAATTTGACATAACTTAAACAGGCGTATTTTATTACCATCAAGTTCACAAAAGTGGTCCTGTGAATCATCGTATCTTGCCCAATCAATGAAAGCTTCTTTACTTTGAATACTACAGGGAAGAAATCAAAAGAAAAATAATTTAGATTTGAAATTTTCCTTGTCTCTCAATCAGATTTTTGAGTATAATTTTAAAAAGGCAATTTCAAGCTACAAATTCATCCATTAGTTGGCCTGTGATAAACTTGGGTAATAATAATAATATGGTGAATAAATAAATGAATAGTGAATATAAAATAGTGAATAATGTATTTTACATGAAAATATAGTAAAAAAACTTTTATAATATAAAGAAAACTTCTCGTAAAGAGCTGTAATAAAAATATCACTGATATAAATCAAATAATAATTCACTTTAATTGGCAGACTTCATTTTACCATATACATACATGCACAATTCCTACCTACCTTTCTAGTCCTCAGTCTTCTTTTCTGGCTCATCAACCTTGAACCCTAAATGTGAGTATTCCCTAGGGTTTTATCCTAGGCCCTCTTCTTCTGCTGTAGAGATTCTATACTCAAAGGCTCCCATATGTTTAGGCAGATCGCTCAAAGGCCTATATATCCAGCCCCAGTCTCTCCCCTGGGCTTCAATCCCTTTCATTACTAGTTATCTATTACACACTTCAAAAATAGATGTGCCACAAACATCTTAAGATGTTTAAGATTCTTAAGATTCTAAGAAGTTGAAAACTGAACCCATTATTTTTGCCCCCAAATGTTCAACTTTTCCAAACTTCCCTGTTTCTATTGATGGTACCATCATTCTCCCAGTAGCATAATCCTCGTTCTCCCTCACTCCACATATCCAATCAATTGCCAAATCTTGCTGTTTGTACCTTCACAACATTCTCCTGTCTCCAAACCCTTCTCTCTACTCACATAGCAGCCAATTTAGTTCAAGCCCTTATAATCTCTCATTAGTGCACCAGCCTCCTAATTGGTTTCTCTGCCTAAAATCTGACCCCACTAATCCAATCTACAAACAGATGTGACTATCCTACAGAACAAACTTGAGTGGATTCTTAATTGCCTCTAAGATAAAATATAAACTCCTCTATCTAGCTGTTAAGACTCTACACAACCTGGTCTTAACCTACCTTTCCAATCTTAATGGACATTATTTACTTCTACCACATTCTACAACCTCGCCAAACTGTTCTTCTCTACTCTTCATTTGTGACATTCTGTCTCCCATCTACCTGCCTTTGTTCCTACTGCTGTCCTCCACACCTGGAATGCACTCTCTCCTTACCTATGCTTCAGCATCCAACTTTTCCTTTAAGATTCATCTTAAAGGATCATGATTTTGCATAAAGCCTTTCCTGACCCTGACTGCTGTTGTTCTCCCTCCAAAACCACCTGGTATACAAGCACTTCATATATATTTGTATTTATTAACTTTATATTTATGCTGTATATATGTTTAAATGTACTTACCTATCCCATTAGAATCTAAGTTCATTTAGAGTAGAGATTCTTTGTATTTGGAGCCTTCATACCTAATATGTGACACCTGATAGTATCTAATGCCTGGCACTTCCCAGGTGCTTAATAAATATATGGATGTCACCCTTCCAGTCTCCCAGGTTTATCACCACATCATTATCCTCGACTGCTTGAGCTTCCTTACCTAATATATCCAATCAGTTGTCAAATCAGTTGTTTTTACCTCTGACCCCTTCTGCCCATTGACAACTACTGCATTTGTTTAGGCCCTCATTATCTCTCATCAGCTTACTGCAACAGCATCCTAATTGGTCTCCTACTCTCATCATACTCTGGTCCCCATCACACTGCCTGGCACACACAGCAGGTACTTAAATGCTTTTTGATTGTTCTGTTTGTTTTGTTGATCTGCCAATCCTCAATTCCAGTGACTTAATGCCTCAGAATTTAACACTTATTTACTAGTTTTTTCTTCCTTTTTACCTGCTAAAGGTCTCTTGCTAACTTGCCAATTTGTGAATTGAGGACTCTTCTAATCTGGTAGGCCTCTCTAGCCACTGACGAGAAGAGACCTTTGAACTAGGCTACTGCTGCCACCTACTGGTCCCAGTGAAACTGGCAGGCTCCTCCCGGCTATCTTTGGACCTTTTCAGCTAATCCAAACATCCAAACAACCCAAAGTTAGAATTCATACTTTAGTCAAAACAGCATGTACATGTGTACGTCACACATAAATACACACAAGCAAATCAAAGGAAGCTGTTATTAGATATGTTGTAACCTCTTCTACCATTCTTTTTTCTTTTTTGGTGAGGCAATCAGGGTTAAGTGACTTGCCCTGGGTCACACAGCTAGTAAGTGTCAAGTGTCTGGTCTGAGGCCAAATTTGAACTCAGGTCCTCTTGACTCCAGGCTTGATGCTCTATCCACTGCGCCACCTGTCTCTCCTTCCATTCTTAAGTGTTAGTTGGCACTTTAACGGGAACCTTAATTAGACCTTGACAAAAATTCTTGAATACATCACAAGAAAAAACAGATTACTGATATAAAAAGTAATGCTACTTAAAATACAACTTGCCTTAATGTGCTGTTAACTGCTCCCAGCTTATTAGCTTGTTCACAGTCTTCTATTTCTTTGGTGGTATTTGCTGCTTTTGAATACTGCAATGAAATCCATGGGTAAATTTAGCAATAATTATTACTCAACATTTTTAAACAAATTTAAAATGTATTCAAGCAGAATAAGTTTCCCAGTGTACAGAATTATGGGACCGAGTTTAGTATCATTCTACAAGAAAATCTCAGAACAAAGTTAATCATAACATGCCTGCAAGAGAATATAACCTGACAAAGTACAGATTTATCTTGCTAATCCTGTGAGCTGATAGAGTTCTGGCCCAATTTTATTTTATTTTATTTTATTTATTTATTTTTTGGTGAGGCAATTGGGGTTAAGTGACTTGCCCTGGGTCACACAGCTAGTACGTGTCAAGTGTTTGGTGTGAGGCCGAATTTGAACTCAGGTCCTCCTGACTTCAGGGCCTGTGCTCTATCTACTGCGCCACCTAGCTGCCCCCAATGGCCCAATTTTAAAAGTAAATGTTCACATTACAGAGGTTTGGGTGGAGGACATTCAACTTTGAGGGGAAAAAAAGAAAACTGAATGCCCGCAAACTAGGTAATCCATGTGGAAAGTAGAAAAGAAGTAAATATTTAGAAATTCTCAGAAAATCTATACATTACATCCATTTGAAGAGTATCTTGCTCAAAAGATACTGACAACTAGTTACGACTAATTACAACTTTACCTTGGAAATAACAGGTTGATTAATTGCAATGGAAGACTAGACTACAACTGGATGACAGGGGTTACCTACTGAGTTGGCAAAGTGTCCAATGTTTTCCAGTGACAAGGTGGATAGCACTGAGTTCCACAAAGAACAGTAATTCTTTCAAGGGGTACCAGAAAGTCAAGCCTTAGTAACTTCAAAAAGCTTATACCATTTAAGGAAATAAGGCAAACAGCACATTATTTCCACTAAATATGACCATTGCTTAAAAGGAGTTTTGGGGGACAGAATTACTCTTTTTAATCTTTTTTTCCCCTAAATTCTGAGTTCCAAATTCTCTCCCCTCATCCCCTTCCCCCTGCATTGAGAAGGCAAGCAATTTGACATTGGTTTTACATGTGTAGTCACACAAAACACATTTCCACGTAAGTCATTCTGTGAAAGAAAACAGAGAAAAAAAAACCCAAGAAAAATTTTAAGAAGTAAAGAAAAAGTATCTTTGGTCTGCATTCAGGCTCTACCAGCTTCTTCTCTGGAGATGGATAGCACCTTTCATCACTATGTCCTTCAGAACTGTCTTGAATCACCATATTGCTGAGAAGAGCCAAGTTATTCACAGTAGATGATGATACAATATTGCTATTATTGTGTACAATGTTCTCCTGGTTCTGCTCATTTCACTTTGTATCAGTTCACCTAAGTCTTTCCATGTTTTTCTGAAAACAGCGTGCTCATCATTTCTTAAAGCACAACAGCATTTCATCACAATCATATACAACTTATTCAGCCATTCCCTAATTAATGGACAACCCCCCAATTCCCAATTCTTTGCCACCACTAAAAGAGCTGCTTTAAATATTTTTGTACACATAGGTTCTTTTCCTTTTTGTTTTTATTTCTTTGCGATACTGACCTAGTAGTGGTATTGCTTGGTCAAAGGGTATGCATGATTTATAGACCTATGGGCATAGTTCCAAATTGCTCTCCAGAATGGCTGAAATCATTATACAACTTCACCAATAGTAAATTAGCTTTTAATTTTCCCACATCCCCTCTACCATTTGTCATTTTCTTTTCTGTCACATTAGCCAATCTGACAGGTGTGAGGTAATAGCTCAGAGTTGTTTTAATTTGCATTTCTCTCATCAATAAAGATTTAGAGCATTTTTATATGATGATAGCTTTAATTTCTTCATCTGAAAGCTGCCTGTTCATATCCTTTGACCATTTATCAGTTGAGGAATGGCTCTTATTTCTATAAATTTGACTCAGTTTTCTATATGTTTGAGAAATGAAGTCTGTATCAGAGAAACTCACCATAAAAATTTTTTTTTACAGTAATGATTACCAACTACGTATTTCCCTCCATCCTATTTTCCCTCTGTTTATCCTACTCTCCCTCCTTTTACCTTGTCCATTCTCAAAAGTGTTTTCCTTCTGACTTTTACCTCCCCCAAACTCCCCTCCTTTCTATCAGCCTGCCCCTACCCCTTTCTCTTATTCCCTTCCCTTCCTACTTTCCTGTATGGTAAGAAAGATTTACAATGAGTATGTATATTATTCCCTCTTTGAGTCAATTCAGATCAGAGTAACGTTCATGTGCTCCCCTCCCTCTTTCCCCATTTTCCCCCTCCACTATAAAATCTCTTTCAGACCTCTTACGTCAGATAATTTATCCCATTCTGCCTCTCCCTTTCCCCTTCTCCCAGTGCATTTTTCTCTCTCATCCCTTAATTTTTTTTAGAGATTTCTACCATCACATTCAACTCACACCTGTTTTCTGTCTATGTATATACTCCTTCTAACTGCCCTAATAATGAGAAAGTTTTTAGGAGTTATAAATATCATTTTCCCATGCAGGAATATAAACAGTTTAACTTTATCAAATTGCTTATGATTTCTCTTTCCTGTTTACCTTTTTATGCTTCTTTTGCATCTTATATTTGAAAGTGGAATTTTCTATTCAGTTCTGGTCTTTTCATCAGGAATGCTTATAAGTCCTCTATTTCATTGAATTTTCATTTTTTCCCAAAGGATTATACTCAATTTGCTGGGTAGGTAATTCTTAGTTGTAATCTTAGCTCCTTTGGCCCCCGGAATATCATATGCCAAGTCATCTGATCCTTTAATATAGAAACTGTTAAATCTTGTGTTATCCTGACTGTGGCTCTACAATATTTGAATTGTTTCTTTTTGTCTGCTTTCAGTATTTTCTCCTTGATCTGGGAGATCTGGAATTTGGCTATAATATTCCTGGGAGTTTTCATTTTGGGATCTCTTTCACGAGGTGATTGATGGATTCTACTTCTATTTTACCCTCTGTTTCTAGAATATCAGGGCAATTTTTCTTGATAATTTCTTGAAAGATGATGTCTAGGCTCCTTTTTTATATCATGACTTTTGGTAGTCCAATATTTCTTAAATTATCTCTCCTGGATTTATTTTCCAGGTCAAGTGTTTTTCCAAAGAGATTTCACATTTTCTTCTATTTTTTTCATTCTTTTGATTTTATTTGTTTCTTGATGTCTCATAAAGTCATTAACTTTCACTTGCCCAATTCTAACTTTTAAGGAATTATTTTCTTCAGTGAGCTTTTGTATCTCCATTTCCAATTCTACTTTTTAAGGAGTTGTTCTCTTTAGTGAATATATCTTTTTCCATTTGTCCAATTCTGTTTTTCAAGGTATTCTTCTTTTCATTGTATTTTTGTACCTCTTTTACCATTTAGCCTATTCTGTTTTTTAAGGTGTTATTTTCTTCAGTATTTTTTTGTGCCTCCTTTACCAAGCTGTTAACTTTTTTCATCACTTCCTTGTATCACTCTCATTTCCCTTCCCAATTTTTCCTCTACTTCTCATACTTCATTTTTAAAATCCTTTTTGAGCTTTTCCAAGACTTGAGACCAATTCATATTTTTCTTTGAGGCTTTGGATATATGAATTTAGACTTTCTTGTCTTCTTCAGAGTGTGTTTTGATCTTCCTTGTCATCACAGTAACCTTCCATGGTCAGAATTGTTTTCTGTCATTTGCTCATTTTCTAGCCTATTTCTTGACTTCTAACTCTTTGCTCAAGTGGGACCCTGCTTCCCAAGTGGAGGAGGCGCTATCGCAAGCTTCAAATTTTTTGTGCAGCTGTTTTTCAGAGGCGATTCTGGGAACCTATAAGTTTTTGGTTCTTCCAAGGTGGTATGGATCTAGAGAGAGATGTGTTTACTATTCTCCTGTACTGTGCACTGGTTTGTGAGCAACCACAAGCACTCTTTTGAACCCTGGAACTGTAACCAGAGTCCCTGCTCCCCGGTGGCCACCAGCTCTGTTGTGGGCTGGGACTAAGACAAAGGACTGCAACCCAGAACCAAGTATAAGCAATGCAACAGAGTCCTGCCCCTGGTGCCAGCAAAGGGACCCCTGTAAATCTCCTTCTGACCCATTTCTGATCCCTTACCATCTGTGGGTTGAGAGATATGGAAACTGTCACTGCTGCCCCTGCTTCAGTCACACTGAGGCCTCCTCATGGTTCACTGGGGCCTGCTCTGTATTTTGATGGCCTGCATCAGTCAGCGCTCCTCTCTCATCCTGGAGCCACAGACTTTTCTTGCCAACTTTCTAAGTTTTCTTGGGCTGGAAAATTGTTTCACTCTGTCTTTTTGTGGGTTCTGCAGCTCTATAATTTGTTTAGAGCCATTAAAGATGTTTAGAGGGGTATGGGGGGAGAGCTCAGGTGAGTCCCTGCTTTTACTCCAACGGAATTACTCTTGCTGAAATCCTTTACTTTGTATGTGTCAGTCCCTTTGAGATATAACAGGAATATGAAGCAAAATTTCTCTCTACTGTCCATTAACTTTGTAAATTCCAAAAGTTGTCACTATTAAGATAAGTAAATAAGTGAAAGATTTACTCAATGAAAAAAACTGGATCAGTTCAGAGAAAAAAAAAAATCACTCACCTTATTAGAACTCCCAGCTTTAATTCCCATTGGAACTTTGCTCTTAAAAAGAAAAAAAAAAGCAGTATATTAATTTATTATATATTTTCAAAAAATATATTTGGTTCACATTATCAATATTATCTGGTCCTAAGTTCACAAAGCTCCTTTCTTCAATGGAGAGATTAAAGTTCTTATGGTGTTCTGTCATCTCCTGAAGCAGAAAGTAACATGTATAGTTTCTCATTTAGCAATATGCAAGTTAGATAGGTATGTAAATGACACACTTAAGGGCATAAAGTAGTCACAGTGAGACCAGGTATTCTAATTTAGTGCCTCAAGTTCTTTCTAGTAGGCTGCCATTCTCATATTTTAACTACTTGAACTTAAATTAGCTTTATTTATAAATATTAAGTTTCTTACCAAAAGGTGGGGTTATTTAAACTACCCTCTAAACATATTGGAAATCTAAAGGAGCTGAAAGTTTCTTATTTTTTTTTTGTTTGGACCTATTATTTTGTGAGTGTGGGAACTCTCAGTGAAGAAACTCCCTCTACCAATAGAGATAAGCTACTATTGTGCAACTTATAGTCTTAGAGAGTTATCTGAGTTACTAAGAGGTTAAGTGGCTTGGTCAGGATCACCCAGTTAACATGTATCAGAGGCAGAATTTGAGCCAACGTCTTTCTGACCCTGCGATTGGCTCTTTTTCCAGGAAGACATGCTACCTGTTCAATTTTTATTTATACTTATTTTATTGCTAGGTATGTTTTTCTGCTATAAGAAATTAATTATATTAGTTGGTATTGATGGTCTCAACTTAGTAATTTGTCAAACAAAGTTATAATTTACTAACTAAATAAGCAAACTATATAAAGAAAAAAGAAAAAATTAAGAAAACTGGATCAAATTCAGTTCCAAGATTTCTTCATAAAGCTATTATGAGTTTTTAATACCAAATGAACAGAACTATGAATTATAACTAATTTTTCAAATATAGTCACTTTTAGCTAAATTATATGCTGTCGAGATGACAAGTACAGCAAGTTCATCCTCCAAACTCCTCCAAAGAGATGTAGTAAATGCACCAGATTAAATCTCCGAGGGGAAATCCAAGATAAAGTTACCAGTGAGTCATTTTTCAAGCCCAGGACGGCACAGAAAGACAGAGAGGTCTGGGGATACTGATGATGGGGGGGGGGGGAATCTTGTCAGGAGTATGGAGCTTGGCAGAACACTCCAGCTCAAGGGAAAAGCCCCTGAGAGGCCTTCAAGAGGAGGCCCAGACCTGTATCAAGACAACGTGAGCAGGGCATGAGAACAGGTGCCATGTGGCAGCTTTACTGCCCACTACCTGTCCTGGGTCACAGCTCCAGCATGGAATGAGGAGAGGACCTATGCCCATGCATGACAATGGGTGGTAGGGTGGGGTCACAGGCCCTAAGAGGTATACCATAAGAGGGACAAATTTAGAAGCAATCAAGCAGCAGTGTAGCTCTAACTGGAGATATAAAACAGGGTCTCACTTCCAGCTTCTAGTCCAGTTGGAATTAAGCCTGCAGAGGAATACCCCAAATGAAAGAAAAGCCTATAATTTTGTCCCTCTGAACCACCAGAGCCTTCCAGATGGCTGATAGTAGCTGAATCCAGCACCCGTCTACTATTGCTCAGATCCAAAGCTAAGTGAAGAACTGATAGAGCTCAGACCAGGGGGGCAGCAATCAGGAAGGATGCAAGAAGAATGAGCAAATTAAAAAAGTCTCACCATAAAAAAGTATTATAGTGACAGGTATGCTCAGGACACAAACCAAAAGAAGTGAATAACTCCAAAACATCTATAAGCAAAGCCTTAAAGAAAAATACAGACTGGACACAAAATCAACTAAAATTCCAGGAAGAGATGAAACAAGAGGGTTTTGTTGTTGTTGTTGTTAAAGATTTTTATAAATGAAAGAAGAAATGAGAGGGCTAGAAAAAACTGGAAAAGACATGAAAGCCATGGAAGAAAGAACTGGAAAGCGAATTAACAGGTTGGTAGAAGAGGTTCAAAACTTTGCCCAAGCAACAAACTCCTTCAATATTAGAATGGGCCAAAGAGAAACCAATGACCTTTTGAGACAACAAGAAAGAGTAGAACAAAGTCAAAAGACTGAAAAGAAAAAAAAAAAAAAGGAAAACTATTTCATTGGACTACTTGAAAACACGACCAAAAATAGAGCCTATATATATCTCAAGAAATCTTCAAAGAAAACTGACTAGATCCTTAGAATCAGAGGGAAAAGTATCCTACTAATTTCAGACAAACTCCCTCCAAATCAAAAAGCTAAGGACAGTTTCTGAACTCTGTGACCTAAATGAATTCTCTAATCCTTCCATCATCACTTAAAACAGAAGTTCCTAGTTTTAGGTATGGATACATGGGGTGGGGAAAGGAATGTGTGCAGTGAATCTTGTCAAGGGACTATAGGGAATATTTGGTAAAGAAATGTTATCTAATTGCAATTAGTCTCTATTTCTTATGTGAACATGCATGGTAGAATTAGACTGTATTTTGTTGCATACAGAATGGGGAGCTTAGGAAAGTTTACCGAAAGCCAAGACTGAGAAGCTCTAAGTAACTTTTTCTCAAATTACCCAGTATACCCAGACATTCTCTCACACTATTAAAGAGAGATCTAATGCAACCATCCAGGGTCACCACTGAGGAATACCTCAGCCCCCATGACCACCAAGGAGCAACTTCACAGAGAAAGTTATTATTCTGCCTGGAAGCATCCCCAGGTAACTGGGTGGTTCGTAAGACAGAGAACTGGGCCTGAAGTCAGGAAGACCTGAGTTACAATCTGGCCTTAGATACTTATTAGCTGTGTGACCCTGGCAGAGTAAATAAATTTCTGGTTGCCTCAGTTGCCTCAACTGTAAAATGGGGATAACAGCATCTATTTCCCAGATTTGATGCAAGGATCAAATGAGATAATGTAAGTAACCACTTTAGCACAGCACCTGGCACATAGTAGGAACTTAGTAAATGTTCATTTCCTATAGTCAGCATGTTTATAGGCAGTAAGGAAACAGCCAGTAGACAAAGAGAGATTAAAGTTAAGTGAGGGTTGTGATGATAAAACGGGCAATCTGCTGGAGAAGAAGGGATGGAACAAAATCGCTTGTGCATATAGAAAGGTTTTCCTTGGCAAGAAGAGCTGCTACCTCTTCATGTGAAACTGGGGTTAAGGAAGAGATAATGGCAGAAGGCATTTAGATGATATAAGATGATGAGGGCTGCTAGGTGATGCAGTAGATAGAGTGCCAGGCCTGGAGTCAGAAGACTAATCTTCTTGAGGTCAAATCTAGCCTCAGACACTTATTAGATATATGACCCGGGGCTACTCACTTAACCCTATTTGCCTCAGTTTCCTCATTTGTAAAATGAGCTAGAGAAGGAATGGCAAACCATTCCAGTATCTCTACCAAGAAAACCCCAAAAGGGGTCACAAAGAGTCAGTCATGACTGAAAAATTACTGAACAGCAGCAGCAGCAAGATGAGGAAGGGAGAGCTCTTGGCAAATGCCAAATTTTTTCAGGGAAGGCAAGGTTCTTGCTGAGAAGGCTGGGGAGTAGGAGCTGTGGAAAGTTGAAGGAGGGATAAAAGTTTTGGAAGAACCAACGTGATGAATGGAATAGTTAATCAATTAGGGAGGTGTAAAAGGATTGCTTTGCTGCAGTGATGGTTCAGCTGAAATTATGTGACAAACTTAAGGTGGAATCAGTTAACACAGTTTGGGTTTGGAGGTCATGGTGACCATGAAGAATAGGATTTAGAGCTGCAAGGCAGAGAGAGAGGTGGAATGACAGATTACGATCAGATAAAGAAATTTCAGACTCCACAAATATGGAGAAAATGAGGGAGAAATCTGAGCACTTTAAGAACTCCTGGGTGTTCCCTTAGTTTCCTCTTTTCAGGTCTCAGAGGGAAGGATATGAAAGTTTATAATCACTATACCTAAACCTGAAGTGTGAGAACTCCCTTAAGTTGAACAGGCCAGTTCCCTAGGCAAGCTTTTGTAAGACCAAAAGTCTGCCGGAGCAGGGTCATAAAGGGCCAATAACCTCAAAGAAGAACCCCTAGTTTAGTGTGGCAATTAGAGAAGTGAACTTCCTCTCAGACAGAAAAAACTATGAAAGCTTTTCCTTCTGTGATAAATAACATACAGTGAACCCAATGAGTACAAGATTTTCATCAGTAGATCGTTTTGTCCTTCTCTGGACAATGTGGGAGCTAAGAGAAAGACTGACCATAGCTTGGGCTCAGTTACAAAGAACTAAAAAGGTTGTAATAGAGAGCAACTCTTAGTGACACCTTCTGCAGACAAGAGCAAATGGTAAGAAAAGGAACGGAAGGGAAAGACAAGGGAACAAGCATTTAAGTTTTATCACATGATAAGTACTTTACAAATATCAGCTCATTTAATCCTCAAAACAATCCTGGGGGTCCTATTATTTTCCTCCTTTTACAGATGAGGAAAATTGAGGCAAACATAAGTGACTTGTCCAGGGTAACATATCTAGTGTCTGAGGCCACAGTTGAATTCTGGTTTTCCTGACTCCAGGCCCTGTGCTCTATCTTTTTCACCCCTCGGCTGCTCTGTGCCTAACTAAAAAAGAAATGACAGACAGAAATATCCAATTGGACTAGAGAAAGAGTCAGGCACTAGGCCCATACTTAAAAGCTTACAAAACCTATAACTTTTTGTTCTACTGACAAAGGCTTTGAGGTCACAGAGCAACCTCTGTCGTGATAAAGTAGTGAATTACAACTTTTAAAACAAGCAAAGGAGGTAGGTCAGTCAAGTAACAAGAACGAGGAATGACAGATGCACACTATGATATGCTGGTCCCTCCAAGATACTAAAACAATGAGAAGATATCCAGTATTATGGAAAATTATGAAAAGTTATGGACAAGAATCTAACAGTATCAGTAAAGGTAGTAAAGTAACAATCTGCAAAGGTAGATTGAAGTACCTAGATTGATGGAATCACAGAGCTACCCAAAAAAAGTGCCCTGTGGATTCTAATTTGTTTTATAGCAAAAATCAATAAATCATAATGCCAAGCATTAAGATCCATGGCATCCTCTGATTCTTAGACCTGGATTTAGGCTTCTGATCATCCCTAATCCATTTGAGGAAGATGAAACTAATAATTAAAATAAAATCTCTGGATTATCTGTGTGCTTTATGCATGATGTAGTAGCTAGGGTACTGGATTTAAAATCACACAGACTAGGTTCAAAACCTGCCTCAGACATTTAATGTGTGATCCTAAGTAAGCCCTTAATCTCTCTGTACCTCAGTTTCCTCACTTGAAAAACAAAGGGGACCAGACTCAATGGCTTCTAAGCTCTAAATCTATGATCCACAGTATCACTGCTATCTAATAGTGTGAATAATAGAGAGCAGAATGTAAACTTCAAAATAAAGTTACTTTTAATTATTCAGGCCTGGCCATTTTTCTTTATACCACAAAAAGCAAATTCTGGCTTAGATACATTGTGAAAATAAGCAACAATAAAATGATTTTCTAAACTGAGTGAATCAAAACAAAATTTTCATAACTATTTAAATTACCAACGGTATTTTAAAACATTTTTAAAATATCTAAATATTGAAAAGAAATATCCCACCATGGATCTATTTTTAAGAGGAGGCAGACAAGAACACTAAAAAAAACACATGAATAACTTGAAAATGCGTCTTCCAGATAACTCTGGAGGAAAGAATAGGAGGCAATAAGTTTTCTAAGAGGTCTCTCTGTCTCCCCCGCCCCATATTTATACTCATCTTAATATCCTTTTCCTATTTTCATGGAAAATAAACCAAGTCTGAGAGAAAAAGTACAAAAAGGAAAAACTGAGATAGGACCATATCTTTTAGCTAATTAGAGGCTGAGGGGAAAGAATTTACCTGCTTGTGATAGATAAGGAAAGACAAATTCTAAAATTTGTTCTTAATTATCTTTGCATATTAGTACTTTAGTAAAAATTTTGGATGCTCGAGCAATTCCAAATCTCTTTTCAGAATTGAATTTAAGAACCAGATGTCACTACTGAATTATTTTCTTTTGCATATAAAATATATTAACTTCGTAGTTTAAATCAACATAGTCAAAATTATTACTTAAATCCCTAGATAGGCAGTTAGCTTCTGTTTGAAGGACACACACTACACTCCTAATTCTAACCAGCTAGTATAAATATTTTTCTTCCTTTTTTTTTTTTAACAAGGAGGGAAAAAGGAAATAAAAGAGACTATATAATGGATCAGCCTAAATCCATAACTTTTAACAGAAAAATAATGTCAAAGACTGATGCTTTTTGATATCTAAGTAGAGCTTTTTATATATGGAAGACAATACTTTATTTCCCACTTGGTTGTATACCTCTGGGCAGGGTTCCACATGACAGTCTTTTATAGAACATTGGCCATCTTCTGCCCAGAAAGGGCATGGTCTCATCAAATTAACCTTTAAAAAATAATAGAGACAAAGAAAATAGAAAACATTAGTCAAAGAACAAAACGTATACATCAAATTAAATTCATGGGTCTTATTCAAAACAATACTTAATTTAAGACAATGTTCCCAGTCAACTAGATAGCCTAGCCTTTTTTAATAAACATGAAGAAAAGAAAATAGAACAGAATTTTTTTCATTGTATTTTTCAAAACAATCTACAAAGCCAAAAATCTTAAACTTCATCACCATATGTAGATAACCCTGACTTCTCAAAGGCTCAGCCAGTAGAGACTAAATTCTGGCAGGTTCTACCACGCTACCAAGCATATCAGCAGTAAAATAACCACCTGATGATGATTTTTTTTCTAGCCATGGATACCCATGAAACTCAGTCCATGTGGCTCTTTTCTGACTCTACAGTAATAGTGGCAGAGTGAAAGGAAAGGGGTTGGAGGTTGTTATGGATTGCACAGTAATTTTTAGACCATCAAGAGACCAAAATGACTGCCAGCACTCTAAATCTAAGGTTTTTGTCCCATGACCAATGAGTGTACACATTGCTGGAGGAGGTGAATAATAAACAAAACTTTAGAGGGGGGAAAAAAGGACATTAGAATCAAATTAAAGAATAGGTCACAAGTACCCTTTGAAGGAAAGAAATGTGTTCACAAAATGTTTCCCCCCAAAGGAAACAAGAAGCATTATTTTAACGGATTTTTGGTCATCACATAATATAAAGTAAAGTCTTTTTTTAACTACCATGAAAACAGCTGCAACTTAATCACTGTCAGTTGATGAGATGAAATGGTAAAGAAATTCTACAAAGTACTTGATAAGACCATCCAAATCAAATACACACACATCCATACACACTCTGATACTTGGTGACTTCAATACAAAAGTAGGAATAGGTAAGAATGGGGAGAAACAGGGGAAAACATGGTTGTATAAGAAAAGAAAGAGGCCAAAGACTTGTAGATTATGAACTCCTCACATTCCTGTATCATGAATATACATAAATATAATATGGTCATGGCAATCACTAAATAATGCCATAAAACATAAAATATTTTAACAGGTAGGAAAACACTTATCACTGATGTGGGATTTATCTCTGAGTCAGCTGTCTGTGTATAGTAAAAACATCAATTCCTCCAAGGATCAGAGTTAATTTTTTTAAAAAAGAAAGAATAATGAGAAAAAGACATAGTATACAATTTAAATGACTTAACCCTGAATTATTTCAATAACTAAAAATAAAAAATAAGAAATGAAATAAATGACATCAACACTGACTATAACAACTTCATCCATAAGTTTAACCAATGTTTAACATTCCATCTCCCAACTTTGGGAATTTGTCACCGGCTGCTCTCCACACTTGGACTTCTATCCCTCCTCATCTCCACTTCCTAGCTCCTTGGGCTTCTAGTCTTAACTAAAGTTCCATCTCCTGATAGAGGCCTTTTCCCAGTCCTTCTTAAACTTAGTGCCTTCCTTCTGACATTACACCCACTTTGTCCTCTATGTATCTTATTTGTGCAGTTATTGGCATGTTGTCTCCCCCATTAGACTGTGAGTTCCCTGTGGTCAGGGCCCGTCTTTCCTTTTTTTTGTATGCCCAGCACACAATAGGTGCTTAATAAATGCTTGCTGACTGAATGATTTATAATAAGGATGAAAAAGTATGTTCGGGCCAGGTTTGAAAGGGGATTAAAAGGAGTTTATATTTTATCTTACTGAGTACAGGAGTGAAGGGGTCAGACCTGTCCTTTAAGAATTCATTTTGGTAGCTACATGGACAATGGATTGGAGAGGAGAAAGATTTAAAGTAAGGCGACCAATTAGGAGGCTATTGGAATGGTCTATGCAAGAAGTGACGAGGGTCTGAACCAGGGTAGTAGTCATAAGAAGATAGTCCCATCAGTGGAGACTAAGCTGAATGACAGTTCTTGAGTCTGTCTTCCTCTCGCAGAAAGATAGTTGCCCTGTGAGATATGAAACTAACCAAGGTTTCACCAAGTGGTGGTCAAAGAGAACAGCCAAGACAAACACCTAGAGCTATCCTCCAGAAGCAGCCAAGGACAAAGAAAGCTATCCCACAACACGGCACAGTGACTCCTAGCATCTAGCACCTAGATTCTAATCCAGGTTCTCCTACTTCCTACCTGAGTGATCTTGGATAAGTCCCATAATTCTCTGTACCTGTTTCCTCATATGTAAAATGAAGGTTTGACCAGATGACCTCGGAGATCCCTTCCAGCTCCAAACCACTGATTCTATGATCCAGTACAGCCATCAGCTATAGCAGCCAGGAAGCAGTGAACCAAAGAAAACCGACTTAGAATCTGGGGAGGGGAGGAGGGCCACAGGGCTCAAGGAAAGACTAAGGGGTGGACGAAGACAAGACCCATAAAAGACATTAATGAAAAGAACTATACTGGGGACTATAAGTGACTGGGATTTTACACAGGTGATCTTTGAGCCTGATAGTTATAAAATCAAGGACTTCCATTTTTTCCTTCTTTCCTTTTTTTAATTAAAAAAAACTTTCTTCTGCAGTCCTGTAAACTGCAATCTTTCAAGTGAGAAGTCTCAGAGATCTTCCCAGGTTTCCTGGGTAGACAGAAGATGAAAATCTTCCGAAATATACATTACCTTTCATGCCTTAGGAGTCTTTGACAAAAGAGTTACATTTAGATTTTCATTTGTTTAATTGCCTTAGTACCTAAAATAAGGTAGTTGGTCCTATATTTTGATAGTTGCCTTGGTCTATAAAAATGTTATTCTGCACATATGAAAAATGTGGTATAAGCGCTAATACACAGAAAATATATGGTCAGAAAAAGAGGTGAGCCAGTTATTTCTCTGTCTTTCTCTCTCTCTCTCACACACACACGCGCACGCACACACACACGCACACACACACACACACACACGTCAGGCATACAGACCAACTTAGAGGAAGGACTTTGGCAAACTGTGTAGACTCTATAGAAGACTTACGCAAGGACACAGTCAAGAATGACACTGGATAAGTAAGCATCAAAAGCAATTGTAATTTATACCATTCAACAAGTATCAAATCACCTATTCGGGCTAAGCACTGTGCTATACACTGGTGATAGAAATTCAAAGAAACAATCACCACTCACAATGAGCTTACATTCTAATAAGGGAGACAAAAAGTACATAAAACATATGTTCTGTAAATATAATTAAATATAAGGTAGTTTGGGAGGGAGGACACCAATAGTTGAAAGCATAGGAAAAGGCTTCTTGTAGAAGATGGCGATAGAGATGCATCTTAAAGGAAGAGGGACACTATGAGAAAAAGATAAAAAGGAAGTAGACTCTGGGCATGGAAATACCAATGTTTCCATGGAGAGAGGAGATATTAATGAGGAATTGAGAAAGATAGTTGGCTGGATCTTAGAGCACGGTAGGGGAGTAAAGTCCACTGACGTTGGAAAGACAGGCTGGGACCAGGCTGTGTAGGAGGAGCACTCTGGAGGCAAAAGGAAGTCACTTGAGTTAGCTGAATAAGATGATCCCAAGATCAAATCTGTGCTTAAGGAAAATTCTTTTGGCAGTAGTGTGTAAGATAGACTGGACTGGTGAAAATTTTGATCTGTTGAAACAAAATACATGAAAAAAGTTCCTTCACTTTAGAAATTTTAAGATGCCACCTCAGATTATGGAAAAACACTGGCTAAATTAGAAAACTATCTCATCTTCATTTGACCTAAGAGTAAGTAGGCAAACTTACAGCTATAAATACCCGGTATAATTCCAAGGTCCCCATATGGTTAATTGTGATATCCAGTCAGAATTGCCTTTTAATATTCAAAGAAACTAATATTCTGAAAACAATCACATCTCATACAAGCAAGAGAAAGTGTGTGCGTGTGCGTGTGTGTGTGTGTGTGTGTGTGTGTGTGAGAGAGAGAGAGAGAGAGAGATCTTTTAATATTCAAAAGGAACTAATATTCTGAAGATAATCACTTCTCACATGGGGGGGCTTTGTTTTCATCATTCACAATCAACAGCGACTTGATTTAAACAATGTTTCATTTTTTAAAAAAAATTTTTTTTAGGCAATTGGGGTTAAGTGACTTGCCCAGGGTCACACAGCTAATAAGTGTCAAATGTTTGGTCTGAGGACAGATTTGAACTCAGGTCCTCCTGACTTCAGGGCCAGTGTTCTATCCACTGCGCCACCTAGCTGCCGCCCAACGTTTCATTTTAAAAAAAAAAAAAATAAGGAACTGACAGCAATTCACTGGAGCAAAAGCCATCTCTAACAGTCAATGGATATGAAACAGCAGCTCCAACAATCACATGGAAAAGTTGCTCAAAAGCTCCAAAAATCAGAAAGACACTAATCAAAAGGTTCCTGAGACAACCACAAAGTCATTAAGACAAAAAAAGAACTGAAAACACTACCAAAAGAACCAGCTTATCAAGACTAGGAGTAGACCTTTCTGGAGGCCAGTGGTCAGATCTGGTGTGACCGCTAAAGATTTTCTCTCTTTAATTTTATGACCCTGTTAACTGTGATAGTTTTATCTTTCTTTAATAAATTACCTAAATACACAAATACACGTGCAATGTCAGAATGTAGTAAAATTATATGGAGTTATGGATTTTTCCTTAAAATGATAAAAAAAAATCTATCTAAAACCATCAGAAAGCATTATTTGTAATGTGGATAAGCTAGAAATACTTGGAAAATCCTAGAGATTCAACTAAAAAGTGAGTTGAAACAATTTTAGCAAAGTAGCAGGATATAAAATAAACTCATATAAATACCAGCATGTCCATGTATCATCAACAAAATCCTGCAAAAGAGATAGTAAGCAATATACCATTTAAAATACCTGTAGACAGTAAAAAACAAACCACTTTTTACACAAATAAAGTCAGATTAAATAATTAGAGAAATATTGTTCCTGGGTGAGCTGAGCCAATATAATAAAAATGGCAATTTTAAACTAATATTCAATTCT